TGCATACGTGTGGGTGGAGGACACTTTCAACAATTGTTGTAAATAATTTGGGTTCTATATTTTATTTGTATTCTCTTGTCATTTAATTTTAGATTTAAAATTTTGAATTCAGTTTTTTTATCCAAACATTCATTATCATGCCTACGTGAACGTCACTGGTGGAAGTAGAAAATTAATTTTTGCCTCAAAAAAAGTGTTTCCACGCCTAGTGTATGTTTAGCAAATATCAACAAATTTTTTTTTGTTATTTTTTTTTTACGCGAAAACGGTGCATCGTACGTAAGTAAGTCTAAAGACCAAATTTGCTCCAAAATAAATGAGGATTTCATAGTGTAAAAATTAAACGTATTTAATAACAGCTATTTGTGTTTTAAGAGCGAAAAGTAATACTTTGTTGCTTAAGACAGAAAGTTGACAATCTGTCGAAAGAGGCAACTAACTTTTCGCTCAAAGATTTTTTCTACGATCATATTATTTTAGGAAATAAATATAAGAACTGAACATTTGTTATAAGTAGTATATTATGTGTTGCCTATATCTAAATTAATCATGAAAAACGGAATTGATATTCAAAGTCAATGTTAACTTTGATAATAAAACATGAAACGTACAAATAACTTGAAAATCATTTATTAAAAAAAGATATTATATTATATCCAATTTAAATTAGACGAACAATAAAGCTGTCAAGTTTTCCGCTCAACGAGCGATGAGCGGTCGCGTGTAGACGTGTTTAACAGAGCTCCTGAATAATTATATTAAGTTTGGAGGTTTCTAGTAAAAACTATATTGGGAAAGTGTTTTTCAGTGTTAATAACAAGTCAGTGTTTATCCAAAAAGTTTGTTTGTCGTTAGACGGGTTGTAAACTAGATATTTGAACTTTGGTTGCCTCAAGGCGTTTGGAAGATATAGTCCGTAGGCCATGAGTCAAATATCAACCAGAGCAACAAACCAACAAAAATTAGACGAAACTGCATTAGAAAGCATTATGAACAAGGTATGTCAGAAATTTATGAACAAAATAGAAGAAAACCTTGATAAAAAATTTGAAAAAATTGAAAACCGATTGATAAAGTTCCAAGAAAATCTTAAAAAAATTGATGATGCCGTTAAAACACATGGAACAGAACAACTAAAAATAATAAATAAAATAGATGAAATGGAACAACGTCAAAAAAGAAATTGCCTGAGATTCGATGGCATAAATGAAGTGAATGATACAAATCTGATGGACGTTATCATTAATTTAATAAACAATACTCTTAAAACTAAGTGCACTGTAGTTGAAATAAATGATATGTATAGACTGGGAAAACAAACAACCAATGGAAAACCTAAAACTGTTTTTGTGGAGTTTGTTACGTTCATCAAAAAGAGCGAAGTATTGAACGCGAGAAAATTACTAAGAGGTTCAAGAATTTTTATTAATGAGGATATGACTGGAAGGCGATACAAATTATATAAGTTGGCCAGGGATGCACATGGTTCAAAAAATTCATGGACACGGGGAGGACGCGTCTATATTAAGAAGGATAATGAAATCAAGATTGTCAAAACCGAGGCCGATTTAATCTAAGTATTGGCAGTAGGCCCACAGACTATTTATTACTTCTATTATTTAAATTATTTTTATTGTATACTCGATAAATATAAGCCGTATTATCTTTCCTTGAATTTACGATTTTAGTTTTTTCTTAAATTAGAAAAATAACTTTTGATTTTTGATATTAGGTATAGGAACCGATAAGGTATTTGAGTGTTATTTTTAACCTTCAATAAATTTTGTTTTTTTGTTAACAATATGTTTATCAGGAGCTCAAATTGTCATGAAAAAATTATACTTAGTATACTTAGTATACTTTATATTACCAGAATTGCAGAGGAATAAATACAAAACTAGATGATTTTTTCAGAAATACATGTGTATATGAATATGATGCTATTGCAGTATCGGAGACATGGCTGGGAGAAGGGGTTTTGGATGGAGAAATTGTTGACTTAAACAAATATAGTTTAATAAGAGCAGATAGAAATAAAGAGATAACAAATAAGGTAAGAGGTGGAGGAGTAATGATAGCAATAAATAAGAAATATAAAGTGGTAAGAGTGGTTAGAATTGGGGATTTATTTGAAGGATTAATGGTCACGATTAGAATTAAAAATAATATTAAATTTGAATTAGCATGTATTTACATTCCTCCAAATAGTTCTTCTATAGTTTTAGAATCTTGTTTGAATTTTTTGCAGAATAATATATCGTGTGAAGAAAGAACATATATTCTTGGAGATTTTAATCTACCAGAAATAAATAAAGATCAACTGTATACTGAGTGCAGTGAAAAAGTTTCAACTTTAAGAGATTTTTTAAATTTTAATTCTATGAAATTATTTAATAATATAACAAATTTCCGAGGAAATACATTAGATCTAGTTATGTCTTGTGAGAATAATGATTGCAGAGTTATTAAAGATAATGATCCGATAACTAAAGAGGATGTATACCATCCCGCACTGGAAATTATTATAGGAATAACCGATACATTAGATAATAGTTTTGTTGTAGACCATAATGAAAAAAAGTTTAATTTAAATTTTAAAAGAGCGAATTTCGAAAAAATGACGGAACAAATTAAATATACTAATTTTGATGAAGTGTATTTAAAATTAGATGTAGATTCAGCTTTGGAAAAATTCTACGAAATCCTAAACAATATTTTCAAAACTTGTGTCCCTGAATATAGATTAGTCAAGCATTTTAAAAAATATCCCATTTGGTATACCTCGGATATTAAAAGTTTAATGAAGGAAAAAGAAAAAATTAGAAAATTGCGGTTCATTTCAGATTTTTACGATATTAAATACAAAGAAATAAGAAGACAGCTAAAAATGCTAACGAGAACTGAACATAGAAAACATATTAAAAATATCGAAGCGGGTTCACTTTCTGATATGAATACTTTCTGGAACTATGTTAAAACAAAGACCCGTTATTCTAATAATAGTACTAACTTCTTTTTAAATGGTAAAGAAATAGAATCAAAGGATATAGCTGATAATTTTGCTCAATTTTTTTTCTAGTGTATATTCTTTGGTTCCAGCGAAGTATAACTTAGAATATAAAAGTTATCAACCTATCACAAATGATACTTTTACAATAAATTTAATCACGGAGGAAGATTTTAATGTGGCAATTAAAAAAATTGAAGCCAAAAAAAACGGCAGGAACTGATGGTCTACCACCGTATGTGTTAAAAGGATGTCATGAGTATCTTAAACCTGTATTGCTACATATATATATATAATTTAGTTATTAAAACCGCTGTTTTTCCAAACATTTGGAAAACTGCAATTTGCACACCAATTTTCAAGTCTGGAGTTAAGAGTGATATTCAAAATTACAGACCAATTTCAGTAATGTGTGCTCCCTCAAAATTATTTGAACAGATAATTTACAATAAATTGTATGCACATGTTAAAAGTAGTATTGCTGATCAACAACACGGTTTTGTATCAAACAAATCAATTAATTCAAATTTACTTTTGTATACACACGATATTAATTTAACATTGGATAAAAAGATACAAACTGACACCGTATACACTGATTTCAGTAAAGCTTTCGACAGAGTGGACCATGATGTGTTACTGGAAAAAATCTATCAGTTTGGACTTACAAATAGAAGTATGTCCTTATTTAAAAGCTATTTACAAAACAGGTTTTTTGTAGTAAGGCATGATGGTAATATATCTGGAAAATTTACAGCAAATTCAGGTGTTCCGCAAGGGTCCAATTTGGGGCCCTTGCTCTTCCTTTTGTTCATAAATGATCTACCAACTGTAGTAAAATACTCAAAATGCCTGATCTTTGCTGATGATTTAAAAGTATATAAAGAAATTCAAACGGTACGTGATTGCATTCTACTTCAAAAAGATATTAATAGTATTTATCAGTGGAGTACAAAATTTAAATTGAACTTTAATGTAAAAAAATGTAGTGTTATTAGTATAACTAGACAAAAAGAACCTATTATTTTTAAATATGAAATGAATAATAGCGATCTGGCTCGACAAAATGTTATTAAAGATTTAGGTGTAACATATAATAATAAATTATCCTTTGGTATTCATATCGAAAACACGATGAAATCTGCAAATCGGGCTCTTGGCTTTTTAATAAGACAAACTACACTTTTTACGGATATAAATACCATAAAACGTTTATATTACACATTAGTAAGATCAAAATTAGAGTTTGGTTCAATCATATGGATGAGTGAGTATCCAACTATTCTCCAAGGAATTGAAAAAATACAGAATAAATTTTTAAGGTATTTGTATTATAAAAAATATCACACTCGGCCTGATTTCAAAACCGTAAGATCAAGTGATTTAAGAACTGAATTCAAAATAATATCTTTAGAAAGTAGACGAAAATTACTATCAATGATATTTTTATATAAAATTATTAATAATCGAATAAATGCACCCAATTTATTATCACTTTTACCATTCAGTATTCCTACACGAACTACTCGAAATTTTAACATATTCTATATACCCTTCTTACCTACTATTCGATCTCCCATTGTGGACATACTTCGGATGGCGAACAATTTAAATTATCTCCATGATCTTGACTGGAATATATCTTCATATAAATTTCGCATTTTAATATTTCAATGTCTTATAAATATTTTCACCTAAATTATGTTTTGAATTTGATCCCTTGCAATTCTGAAACCCGCTCACTCTGATATTTTATTTTCTTCTGATTATATAAATTAGTAAACTTTATCTGTATAAACTTATCCATGTAATTAGGCCTATAGGCCTGTTTGGGTAAATAAATAAATAAATAAATACAAACTTTCTCTTAATGTCAGTTCGCGGAAAACGTCAAATTTGCGGTTGTATTTCGAAACGCAGAAGCCTACTTTGTATCGTGATTGTAGAAAAATATCTTTTTATCTTTCTACCTATATTTATAATGTGAACTTACTTTCGTTTCTTCTTTCTTCTGAGATTGGAATACTTTTCAACGATTTGCTTTTAAAGTGCTTCGCTAATTCTTTAAACGTAGATGAGCTTCCAATTGCATTTTCAATTGCGTTCTGTGCTTTTTGAACCCCAAGTTTAAATCCCTCATGGTCAGGTCTTACATGTAACCCTCTATGATAGAACATCAGGCTTAATTCGAAGTCTCCAAGGTAGTATAACGCCTCTGCTTTTTGATAGATGGCCTTTATAAAGTTTTTGTCAATTTGCAAAGCAAATTCGGCGTCTGCCAGTGCATTTTTTGGTTGGCCTAAAAGAATATAGCATTTGCTTCTTGCTACTAAAGCGTTTTTCTCATTTGGATTGAGATCCAATGCCTAAAATAGAGAAATATTAAGTTAGATACTTTTATGTACAAAATTTAATATGATAAATGAAATATTAACTTAATTAAGTGCGCGTGGCAACACCGCAAAGCGACACTCATAAGGTTCAGCGTTATAAGCAATGATGACAGACCTTTAATATATGGTTTATAGACAGTACACTCAGTGTATAATTTTCATAGCTGATTTTAGCGCTCTCATGGCGGCTGGAGTATAAACTAAACGATGGCGGCAATTTTTAATTGTGTTTGAAATAAGTAGTAGTGGAAGTACATTTTTTTAATTTTGATATTATCTGTGTCCCATCAAAGTTAGGATTTGATTATAAGTAAACAAATCGTAACTATAATGGTTTAATCATGTTTTGGTGCTACATTTTTTTATGAAATGAAACCATATATTTTTATTTATAACAATTTATTTATAAAATGTAAATTTCGGGTATTATTTTAAATAAAATTAAAAATAGCTAATAATAGGTACATGCAAAATATTAAGATATAAGTGTTTCATTTCTTTTTTAAGTTTTATCTGGTTTTTCTTATATAGGTATCTTGTGGGAGCAAGAAGACGTGTTTTACCATTAAAATAATGTAACAATCTGGAACCTGGAACACAACTATTCACTTTACAATCATGACTGAAAGCTAAAAGTTTATATATCCATTATCTTAAATGTAATGTGGTCACTGGTCAGTGTATGCTGAACTAATCGCGACACTACCGATTAATAAACTTTAAACTGTGATATTGATTTTGTGCTTTATTTCCATTTCACTATTGAGTTTCTGCTTTATTTCGATTTTATTATTTAACAATCAGTTCAAAAACCGAAACAAACCACACAAAATAAAGCGCCTACTCGGAGCACGGCCGGTAAGCGCGATTGGCTGTTTATGCCGGTCGGCTTAGCCAGATATGGATAGAAATTTTTTGGTGGCGAGAACTCGTTGCTTCGTCTTCTTGTTGTCACTGCATTACTATTATTTGTTCATATTTGTGAAATTTGCTTCTAAGGTTTATAAAATAATAACAAATGTAATAAACATATACTTAACCTCGAATTTCGATCAATAATAACAAAATTATATTATATTTAATTTGACCAATTGGGCCGTCCGGCCGTGCTCCAACTAGGCGCTTGTCTCGCAAAATTCATAAAAATAATGAAATAAGAAATATTTGTGGTTATGTAGGCACATGTGGATAGTGTTGCCACTGTCAAACGGTGATAATTCTCATCAATTACTCCGAACCTGAAGTCATCGATAAATGCCAATGGTGACGATGAAAATATTTTAAAATATGACTTTTCAGCAATAGTGCATACTACTAAATTAAAAATGCTATAATCTTGGATGAATAAACTATAAATCAATTCATATAAAAAAGTTCATGGGTTGGTTAAGAATTCTCAAAAATCCGGTAAAATCCTCGTCATTGGCAACGCTGCGCAAGTGTGTCCTATAACGGCGACGGCAGCGACCTAACGGCGGATGGGGTTTAAAACAAGACTCATTGACCTTGACGATAAGAGTTGATACACTGTGGATGACTTGGTTTTTGGCTCTCTAAGTGTACACATCGTTTGCACATTCAAAAACTTTTTGAAGGTGTTTATAAAGGTTTTTACAACTACTGATATTTATTACCTACATAATTCATTTTCCAAATAATTAATTTAAAATTTATTTGAACTATGAATCAGTTATTTCCAAGCTAATAATGGCGGACTCCGAGAATTCCCCTCAACCCAACCCCAGTGAAACTATCGAATCGACAAACAAAAAAAAAACCTTTATTCTAACTCTGACTCTGGTCCATATGAAGTATATATCCAGGGAGATGATAAAATTGTTGTTAATGAGCATTGCCAAAACAATATTTGATTTAAATTAGAAACAGAAGGAAGGTTACTCGAAAAGACAAAAACCACATGGGTATCATTTGTTCTAACCTTTCTTCAGCAAACAATTTTATCGATGATAAAAAATGGGAAACAGTAAATTATGATTAATTAATGATGATTTAAAAATGTATTTAATCAATTTACTGAAAATGAGATTAAAGAATCTATCGACACCCAACTGGCACTTCGAAAGTCGTTAATATTAAAAGACTAAATAGAAGAGTTGTTGAGAAAGGAAAAGAGGGTTATATATACTCTAATTGATATTGTATGTATAACCTTTTTTGGCAAAAATATCCCCAAAGAAATCTTAATACATGTTATCCCTAAAAAATTTACTTTTAATGTTAGCTCTGTCTTGTTATGCCGAAATTGTTTATTATATAGTCATATTTCTAACCAGTGCAAAGGAACTGCTAAATTAAAAAAAAGAGGCAAATTAGGTCATACAGAAGGTAACTTTTGCAACTCCTTTTGCATTCACTGCAAAAGACAGGATCTTACAAATAAAGACAAATTTTGTATAGAATTACAAAGCCAGAAGGATATTATTTTATATTTCGAGGCTAATCAGCAGATTCCTAAGAATAATAATAACGCCCCTGTATCGATAAAAAATTAAAATTTTCATCTTTCGATTAAACAATCGAATGAAAATAACCAAATCCCTATTCATGAGAGAATGTCTATTATAATGCACTCGTCAAATAACGTTCTATCATACAGTCAAACAATAAAACATCCGTTAAACAGAGACGACCTCATAACAGTGGATATGATAGGAATTCTCCTAAATCCCAATTATTCAACTCATCAGGTATAGTCTGGTATAGTCTCCTGTTCACCTAATAAATCACAATTTCAATCTTCTTCTAACTACTCTCGTCAAAAAGAAAAAGAAGAAAATTTCGCGAAACTTTGTCCGGGTCATCATCTTCTTATTCTTGAATAATTAGCAGTTTGTCTGGATGAAATTTGTAAAGCTTCAATACTTTTTTGACTGACTCATGCGATAGTCCAGTTTGTTGTGCAACTTCAAGAAGGGTTGTAGTGGGGGTCATAGCAAGAACCTCAAAGTGAACGGCCTCATTAAGCAATATTTTCACAACCCTTTTCTTATTGCAAACTGATCCAGTTTTTTCAAATTTAGTTGTATAGAACTTAAATATGGCCGTCGTTTTTGAAAACCAACTATTTTGGGCTCCGTAAATAAAAATCATTTATATGCGTTTAACAACAGTGTAAACCTATTTTAAGAAACGGTTACAACTTAAGAAACGACAATTGAAAACTACGATTGAAATTGTTTATGTATAATGTAAATAACTTGTACAGCCTATTTTACTAATCGAAGAAGCACAGCAAATAAAAGTGATAAATTATTTTAAAATTAGTTATTTTGTCTTAATAACCTATAATATTTTTTTTAATTTGTAGATTTTCGTTAGTGGGTCGTAGAAAAAATATACTGTATAACTCAAGTGGATTGTCCAAGTCGCCTACGGCGTTGTGCTAAAATTTCGTCTTCTTGCGATATGGCCATCATATCCACTGTTGCACAAACTATTATTGTAGTAGCGAAATGTAAATAAATGAATAAAATAATTTCGAATTTAGTATTCGTAGGAACAATAATTTTTAAATGAAGTGCTGTGAGGCGGTGAATGCAACCTGTTTTTAGAAGTTGCATTATTTATATTTAGATATTAAATACATTCCACACATTTGTAAGATTAGATACTTCAATTTTGACAAAAAAAATATTAACACAAAAATGGTAAAAGAAATAGTGGTTGCCATTGAAAATTTTAGGGGTAGGGGCATCAACATCAACAATTGTCCCCCTTGATATATAATTTGATGTGTTTGGCAAATTTTTATACTATCATTGGTAATGGCAATATTAAATGCTGTTCGTTTTTAAATTGACACCGTGTATAATCAAGCAGACTCATTAGTTCATTAACTTAGTGATAAAATTCTAATAATAAACAGACACATTGGCCTTGTAAATAAAATCGATAAAATTAAATTAAAAGCACTCTAGTCCCTCATCTGACTGCAAAAGTGACATGTCGTGTTTTTTGCTTGCTATTTGTAGTTAGGTACAGGGGAGGGGGTTGAAGAACATGTACTATGTCCCGGTTGTAGGAGCTGTCGTCTAACTTGTCAAACTTTAAATATTATTTTACATTAATGGAGTTTTTCGTTTTTTGCTGGCAATGATATAATTTGCTTCAAGACATCTATAACAATAAAAAAATCTCTTGGCAATCATTTTTGTCATCCGGTTTTGCTACTTTCGGTATAGAGTTTATAAATTTTTCTACATCTATAACTCGTTAATTATGGCTTTCACAAACAAATAACTTAAAATAGATATAAGATTTTAGTGGGGTCCTGTTTTAAACTGAATTTCATTGGGGTTAAAAGAGTGAGTTACCCTTTTAAAAACCTATTAAATTTAAATAATTTTAACTAACTTTATTTTATTAGTCACTTTATATTAAGATCTCATGTACATTTTCTTAGAAATATTTTTAGTTGTTTCAGAGTAAGAGCAAAATATCACTTTCTACTAAAATGTTAAAACTTTTTTACTACCCATTTTTTACGTAAGCAAGTTAACTTAAATCGACTTATTTTCGACAACAGAAATTGTAGTTAAATTTACTATATATTTTTTGTTACTCCCTGTATATATGTTTTAAATTTATTTGCTATTATCTCGACTGATATTCTATATCTACATGTCTTTCTGTAATATTGACTCAAAATGCATAGAAATCCTGTTAAACAATAAAACAACCTGTATATTGAAATAATGTATGCATTTCGTGATTGATGTTAAATTACATTCAATAAAAATGATTTATTCTTTCTTGGAAAATTGTGTATTCCCAATCAATTTTATCAGCTCCAACCAATCTTTGCATTTCGCCCAGTTCGTTTTTTTTGTCGTTATGGGAAATTTCACCATCTTGCCATCTGTTAATTGGTAACAGTTGCAGAAATAAAGTACTCTATAGTTTACTCGCACAAAATTAACTTTATATACACAATATCCATAAACTAAATTGCTTTAATAAACTTCTACCTCGCATGTTCTAACTTCCGTAATATAAATTTAAATACTACATGCAAGTTTTCAAAAGAATTAACTGTAATAATCTTAAAAAATAAAGTTTGATCAATAGTGACTTGTAAAGAAATGCATTTTTATGGTCTTTGGATATGCCAATTTAGAACTAAAAATAATAAATCGATAAATGTTTTACTGTTTATATTACTTGATTTTAGTATAGTGAATTGTTCTTGATTAGTTCCTATAACACACATTATTTATTAAAATTAGGTATTTGAATCAAACTAAATTTAGTTTGACAAGATTTTTGAGGATGACTATTTTTAGCGGAGAATAAAAAATATACATACTACTGTTAATATGTAATTACAAACAAATATCGTGCGGTCCTGAATAAGACATATTCTAAGGGACACAGGTGGGTAAATTATATGCTGTTGTTATGCTTATTTCATTATTTTCGTTTTGTTTACAAACTTATTTACATATTACCTTAAAAATGCTAAAATAATTTAACCTATTTTATTGCAACTGAACCCAAATATTTTTGAATCATTAGTTTTATCAGACTTAAGTAAATTAGATATAATTTTACCAAATTAGATATACTAATTTTTAATAAATTCCAAGTTATGTTGGATATCAAGTATTTTGTACGAGATGGTACAACAGCTAGCATTTTGGAGGGGGGCCATATTACGTTATTTAATATGAGCTTATACAATGGCTTACAAATATTCATACATCATTTCATTAAGTTTTTTTGACAGTTGAAATTATATAGATTGTTTATTATAATTGTTCAAGTTTTTCTTAGTTTCTTATAAAAGTGGTTTTTGTTATTTTGTTAAAATGCAGACTTTAAACATGGTAAAACAGATCAAAATTTGTAGAAAACATGATAAATTGGACTCAAATTCTTTCAGCCGTATGCATAGTCGATCGCCAGCGACTCGCCAGAGATTCATTTCGGCGTATCGCCAGCGATTCGCTGGCGATTCGCTGGCGATTCGCTGGCGATCCGCCGGCGAAAGCCCAAAAAGCTGGCGACTCGCCGGAGATTGTCACCGGAATGTTATTTCACGAAAGTTTTTATTTTCTTTTATAGGGATTATCACCGGTATCTATCGCATTTTATTCATGATTAATTTCTTAAAACTCAAAAAATAATGAACGAATATCAAATTTTTCCCTATAAAAGAACATGAAAACTTGCGTGAAATGACATTCCGGTGACAATCTCCGGCGAGCCGCCAGCTTTTTGGGCTTTCGCCGGCGGATCGCCAGCGAATCGCTAGCGATACGCCGAAATGAATCTCTGGCGATCGACTATGCATACGGGTGTTAGTTTCATGTGTAAGTATTCATAGGTTTGAATTTACCAAATTAACTTATAATAGACGTACCAATTACGAAAAATATCTTATATGTTTTTAAATAATTAGTATTATTAATGTTTTGAATTAACCATGGTTGTCCATCAGCCTTATTAAATTCGGAAAAGAGGCGAAATTTAAATATTGGGCCTGGAAATATGTCTAAAATATCAAAGTACCTAATTAATTTTGTATAAAAATCGAATTTGTGCAACAATTCTTTATTAACTTTAAGACAGGTTTTAAAATGATTAAATTTAATTGAGGCGTCGCCTTAAAGTTTCAGTTATATTCGGCAAAACTTTTGATTTTAGTGCCTACGTAGGTCAAAAATGTATTGATATTTCACTATACAAAATGCGTCACAGCCATTATACTCAACTTCGGCCAAAATGAGAATTCCTTAGGGGAGGAAATACTACAAACCCAGTAGGCACCACCACCTAGGGCCCTAATAGAAAACTTAATTTCAGACCTTCAAAATTACCCAGAATAGGTTAATTTATTGAAACTTGGTAATGCCGCTCCGCTCCATCCCATCCCATACTGTGGGTGTTAGAGGTTCCGACATTAAGTGAGTACGTTAACAAGCCTCGAAAATTCTTTGAAATAAAATAATTAAAGTCATATAAAAAGCAAACAGCATTCTTCAAAAAAACTGTCTGTAAACGAAAAAGCTTTGCTTGCCTCTTACAAAGTATAATATAAAATAGCCAGATGTAAAAAAGCTCTCACCATTAGTGAAGACCTTTTACTGCCAGCTGCGATGGAGATTGTAGAAACTATGTTTAGAAATAATTTTGCCAAACAATGGCAATCCATACCTCTTTCAAATGATACTGTTGCCCGCCGAATTGGTGATATAGCCAAAGAGATACATCATCAGCTTCTTGAAAAGTTGCGTGACAAATTGTTTTCGATTCAGCTTGATGAGGCAACAGATAGCAATTAAGACTGTCATTTTATTGCCTATGTCTGATTTTGTGATGGTATATCGGCAAAAGAAGAGCTACTTTTCTACAAACCTATAGAACTATAAACAACAGCAATCGCTTTGTTTGATATTTTCTTAGATTAAACAGGTCGAAGATGTAACATTGCATTGTTTCCACGACGCCATTAATCACTATTGACAGCTGTTTTTTTAAATTATTTGCTGGTGTTTTAGCAATTTAAAGTGTTCTAGTTATATCAATTTCAAATTAAAAATGCCACGATGTATCTGGAAAAACTATATACCGGGTGTCTGCGCGAAAACTTTAAATGGAATTATTTCTGGTGTTTTAAAATATATCGACTTGAAATTTTGGAAGGTCATTAAGGAAGTAGGGGGTAAATTAATAGTGTATAAGATACCACTCCAACGTGATATCTGTCGCCCCCAGCCACCCCCGGTTCAAAAGTTTAAATGACACCCTGTATTTTTTTTACATATTCTGAAAGAGCGTAGTTTTTTAGTATGTCTATGTGAAAAAATTACTTAATTACATAATGAACTTTGAAAGATATTTACAGCTAAAGGTTCAGATACCAGATATTAAAAAAAGAACTAGTAACCTTGGACACTAGACAAATTCCGAAATAATTAAAGCAGATAGAAACAAAAAAATCTAATTATCCAAAAAAATATAACTTATCACAAAAAAATACAACTTATCACAAAAATAGGTATTCTTATAGACCAACAAGATTTCGCTTTATAAACTAAAGTAAGGACTCTTTTTATTTTTTTAGTTAAATCAAATGTTCAAAATGTTCACCGTTTACATTTAAACAATAGTACAGTCTATTCTCGAAAGCGTTCCGAATATTTTCTAAGACATGTGGTGTTAAATCTCTACATTCCTCTATGATTCTATTACGCAAATCATCAATGGATTGTGGTAGTGTCCTGTAAACAACATACTTCAAAGGTCCCTATAAAAAGAAATCCAGTGGGGTCAAGTCTGGGTAGCGAGCTGGCCATTCAATAGGACCCCTACGACCTATCCATTGTCCTGGAAAAACGGTATTTAAATATTGCCTTACTTCTAAACAGTAATGAGGGGGAGCTCCGTCTTGCTGAAAGTATAACTGATCCTCCTGCATTTGATCTAAGTTTTCTTCCAAGCACTGAATGATAAGAGGATGTATTAATTCTTCTAAAAACTCGAGATATCCAGGCCCAGTTAAATTCTCGTGATAGAAAATTGGACCAATTATTTGGTTATTTAGAATTCCAGCCCATACATTAATTTTTTGGGGACGTTGCGTATGGCCTTCTCGTAAAACGTGAGGATTAACATCGCTCCAATATCGACAATTGTGTCTATTTACGAAACCATTTAAGGAAAAGCAACTTTCGTCACTGAAACAAATATTTCGCAAAATATTTCTATTTTGCCGAATCATGCCTGTCATAGTTTCACAAAATTGGACTCTTCTATCGAAGTCATCGTCGCCCAACTCTTGATGAAGCTGTATTTTATAAGGATGCATTTTATTTAATTCTAATATTTTATGGCACGTTGTTTTTGCCACTCCCGAAGCTTCTGATAATTTTCTAACTGAAAGCTGTGGGTCTAAATTTACGTGACCAAGAACTGCAACTTGCGTTGCTTCATCTCGTGCTCCACGATTATTCATATCACGTTTTTTATTATTTACCGATCCAGTTTCAAAAAATGTTTGTATTAGATTAATAACATAAACAGCAGATTCATTTTTGTTGGGATGGTTTTCGTTAAATAATGCTGCCGCCTGCGAATAGTTTCTGTTTGCAATCCCATATAAAACTACAATTTCAGTTCTTTCTTCCAAACTGTAAACCATTTTTCTATTTTTTTAGCTATTTAATTTAAACTAAGTCAAATTTTTGTGAAAACTTTTGTACTAACGAGTAAACAGAAGTGTCACAAACAATATTATTTGACAGTTCAAGCAACGAAGCAGCTTTCATGGCTTGCTATTATTTTTTGCTTTCGATATTTGAATATCTGGTATCTGAACCTTTAGCTGTAAATATCTTTCAAAGTTCATTATGTAATTAAGTAATTTTTTCACATAGAGATACTAAAAAAACTACGCTCTTTCAGAATATGTAAAAAAAATACAGGGTGTAATTTAAACTTTTGAACCGGGGGTGGCTGGGGGCGGCAGATATCACGTTGGAGTGGTATCTTATACACTATTAATTTACCCCCTACTTCCTTAATGACCTTCCAAAATTTCAAGTCGATATATTTTAAAACACCAGAAATAATTTAATTTAAAGTTTTCGCGCGGACACCCGGTATACTTATAATACAAGTGCCAATGTTATGAAAGATAAAAAATATATTCGTTTTCAGCGGCATTATTAATGTTTTTACATAAAGCCGCCATAATACTTTAGATTGAATACTTCAGATCCACATTAAGGTATTTCTCTAAATATATAAAAATAAAATAAAAATAAACAAAAAGGAACACTTGATAAAGTCAATAAATACGTAATTGGAAATGTCTTCTGCACCATTATAAGTGTGATTAAAATTTAAAAATCTGTGACTATTTATTTAATTTGAGATGGATGCAAAGTTCTGCTCAAAGTGTAAGGATGAGGAAGCTAATCAAGTTTTCCATGTGATTCATGTAAAGAGTACTTATGTGCTCAATGTGGTGACGTAACAGCGTCAGAAATCAAATGTTTACAATTAAACAATAAACGAAAATTAATTTTTTTTGTGCAGTGAATATGAAACAGGTTTTTGGAAAGTTCCAAAACTAACTAAAGAGTTAAAGCAAGTAAAAATTAACATTGAAAAACTTATGAAAAATAAGGTATCTGATCAAAATAACGAAAAAGATGCAACTTTAAATGTAGCTAAAATTAACAGCGAAGAACTAATGATGGAAGTGGCGGAAAGACAGAAGAGGGCATCAAACAGTATTATATTAAATGTAAATAATTCGAAACAAAAAATAGTTGCAAACAAAATAAGAGAAGATAAAGACTCAGTAAAAGAACTGCTAAAAGATATTGATGTTGATATTACAAATATAAGGGTGTTCAGACTGGGCAAAGACAAATACAAAAATAGACCACTAAAAGTTTGTTTTCCCAGTCCACAAGAAGCTCTTAAGGTGTTACAAATGAAAAAGGAGATAACAATTCCAACTATTAACAACAAAAGCGCAAAAAGAGTACTTCTTTAATGTCAAAAGGAATCTGCAGGAATATTTAGATAACGGTGAAAACAAAACTATAAAATACATAAATAATATTCCAACAATTGTTGATAGCAGTATATCTACAGATTACAATATGTAAAGCTAGGTAAATCAACATTTGAAATGCTAAAAAATAACTTAGAGTAACGCAAGGAAGTATATTAGGGCCGCTTCTATTGATCATATATTTAAATGACATTAATTATATTGAGTGTGACTTTATTAATCTATTTGTAGATGATACACTGGTAGCATGTTATGGGTATAATCTTAAGGAAATTTTAAATAAACTGAATAATATATTGAGAGTCTTAACCCAGTTTTTAAATAAAAATAAACTTAATACTAAAAAAACGAAAGCAATGATTTTGGCAAGTAAATATAAATTAAATCATATAAACTATAATAGATACAACATTAAAATTGAAAACGAGACTGTTGAATGGGTTAATGAATTTAAATACTTGGGATTTATTTTAGATGAAAATCTATTATTGAAACCTCACTGCGAATATGTATGCAAAAAATATCAAAAAAGCTATTTTTCTTCTCAAGGATTGCTTCAAATCTCTCCTTTTTTTCTAGATTAATGTGTATAAAACTATTATACAACCTCATTTTGACTACTGCGGATCGTTACTTTATAAACTGGATAATAGCTGTTTACAAAGACTACAAAAATTGCAAAATAGAGGAATGAGAATAATGCTTCGATATAACAGATACATACCAATAAATGGTATGCTGACCACTTTAAGTTGGATTTCAGTCAGACAAATATTTTATTATTTAGTAATGACTTTTGTTTATAAAGCAAAAAATAAAAAACTTCCTGAGTACTTCAATGATTTTATCGTCTACAATAATGAAATACATAATTACAATACAAGATCTGTCAATAAATTTTTATATTCCGCAAACAAGACTAGCTATAGCAACAAAATCTATTTTTATATGTGGATTACGTGAATTTTATGCTTTGTCTAGTAAAATTAAAACGAGTACATCTCTACCTCAGTTTAAAAAATGTTTAATACAATTTATTTCTAGTTCGTAAATTAAATTAACTAAATTAACTTTGTATGTTTACTTTATGTTTACTTTAATTAATATGTATTTATTTTATTTTATTTTAACTTTAGTACTAAACGACTTAATTTTATTACTGATTTTATTACTAATTCTATCAAGATTATATCAAAATTGTATTTTATTTTATTTTATTTTATTTATTTAACTGAATTTATGCAGACTGACGATAATATGTAATATTTAAAAAAAAACTACTATGTATTAGGACTTCCTATATTAAATAACGATTATTATTATTATACCAACAAATATTTTAGGAAACAGATTTAGTACTAACAAATTTACGAAAGAACAAAATTTTGAACATTTAATTTATTCTTATGTGAATAAGAAGTAAATAGGCATTGTTGCTAACGAAATTTTGTTTTTAAAAAGTAGTTTTATAAGAATATTTTTTAAACCTTTTTGGTGCGTAAATATTATAAGAACTATCATAAGCAATAGTAGATAAAATACAGAATGAGCAACTTAAAATTTCAAGGTTCACCTTATGTCCAATATGATCTAGTACAATGATACTCAAAGTATGCTCCGCGGAGCCTGAGGCTCCGGAAAGATTTTTTGGGGGCTCTGCGAAGAAAAAAGTCATAATAAAAAAAAGCAGCACACAAAAGGGAGGAATCTGGCTCGAGGCCCTTTTTCTAGTTTTTCTTTTGTTTTAGTGTCACTAAGAGGAAGGAGGATATGATTTTGTTCAGAGAACCTTTTTTTAGAAGTGTATTTAGGACTCCGTCAAACATTTCGCTTTTCAAAAAGGTTCCGTCACCAAAAAAGTTTGAGAACCACTGATCTAGTATATAAGCAAGAAGAAATACTAAAGTTACGGGAGTTAGACATATTGTTAATAAAATGTTATTTTATAAAACCATCTCTGAATTTTGGAGATAAATGCTCGGAAGCGACCATAGGGGTTGCAAAAATAAATGATTAATCGATTATTCGGTTATTTTTTTGAAAAATTGATTTGTCGGTTAATCGGTTATTTTCCTAATCCATTATTTTTTATTTTTCAAGATAAGGGAATATACGATTTTAAAGGTAATACGAAAAGAAAATCGATTATTTAAAGATAATCGACTTATCGAAAATAATCGATTTTATTTTAAATAATCAATAATTCGGTAATTTTTTACAAAAATCGATTTATCGGTTTTTTAATTAATCGATTATATTCGAATTATTTATAGGTTTTTTTCATCAATCGATTATTTTCGATTTTTCAAATATAATCGAATAATCGATTTTAAAGGAAATTCAATCGATCGAAAATATTCGATTATTTTAAATAAATCGAAAATTTATTTCCATAATCCTCCACTCCTTGCGACCGAATGACTTTTATTATATTTAAATTTAAAAATGTTATCGAGTTTCAGAAATATGTATTTCTAGAATTTTATGTGACACGTCCTCTATATCTAATATATTGCACAGAGAGCCTCTGGCTTTTAAAGAAATGAGACCTGGTCTTAATGCTTGTAACTGTAGAAAATTTTACATAAATGAGACCACTAAAATAATCTTTAATGCACTTTGCAAAGATATAGATGCAAAACTAGAAATTTTTGAATTTAATTTTATTAACTTAAAAAAAATATTTTATGTAACGTACTCGCTTTCGACGCCGTGCGCGCAACCTAAAAATGGCGCGCGGAAGGCTACTTTGAGCGTTAAATTAAAATTATAAATAATGGAGGTACAGTTCCGGGAGTCGGAACTTATTTATAGCCAATTTCCTCCTCTTTAAGGATCTTTTTTGAAAAATTACACGCTTTTGAACTTGTTGATTAGACTACACTGTCTCATGGAAGATGTAAACATAATCTTAACTTAGTATTTATAGCAGTGCAGTATCATGTTAAAGTAATTACCAACAATAGTAGTGGTTCAAAAAAATATTTTGTTTTTGATTATTCTTACATATTTTAGATTGAAAGAATGATGAATGTGCATAAAATTTAAACTGAGGAAAATCGAATTTTTAAATTTAGGTCACTGTCATTTTATTTACTCATGTACGAGGTTCTTCGAAAAATATGAGTAACATAAGTACCTTTATTTTTAATATCGAAAATTGTTATCAAGTAAAATATATATCAGAATTTAAAACTATGGTCAGATATCCAATATTTATCTATCATTAAAGAACAGTTTTATGATTTTTAAAGTTAAATGTAATTTGTATTAACGAGTGTATTAATTTTTCAAAAAAACGTAAATTAACTTGAAATTTTTATAAATATCTTCTTCAGATGGGATGCTTAAGCCAAAAATCTAAAAAAAATACACATTCCTTAATCATTGCTAAATTTTGGAATAATTGTTTGGGTGGATTAAGAAAAAGTTTATCTAAGTAATCAAAAACATCACTTAAGAGCGTACGTACAAATTTTCGGGTATAGGAGTTTCAATACTATATTGTTTCTAAAATTATGAAAATACTAAAGAATATTAAAAAAAAATTTAAATACAAATTAAAAAATATGTAAATATTTAGAGAAGAACTTGCTTGACAACATCGTATTTTTTTTATACTAACACAGAGCAGTTAAAAACTGAAAATACCATATTTTCATTTCACAAAGTTTTTTGTTTTTTATATAAATCATATCATTTTCAAGGTAACAAATCAGAAGAAAAATCACCAGAAACTGATTTCAAAAAGGTTTATTAGTTTTTTTAAGAAATGAAAACAGAAAGAATGCTTTTTAATCAAGTTAAAATTCTTTACTAATTTCGCTGTTTCTCTTCCACGATATCCCACCTCCCTCTTGTTAATAAACGATAAATATAGACGAATTAGGGTATTTTGTACCGTTTTAACGTGCACATGTTAATACATTAAAACATTTGTGATTGTTAAAAAATTTAAGAAAGATTTTGTAGAATATAAACCTTTTTTATAAAAATTAGTAAACTTTGCTAAATATATACAATATTCTAAAAGGTAAATAACATTTATATGATTATAGAAAATGTTTATTTATTTTTCTAATATGATGTGGATTGTCTTCTAAATATATATGCAGTGTCTCGCAAAAAGCCTGCTTCATATAGAAAACTTTTGCTTGTTACTTTTATCAGAAAATGTTTCCTGGTAAAACTTGGTGTTTAATTTTAAAACTGAAACTATTTATTTTAAAAATTCTGTACCATAAATATATAAATTTGGCTGCACAGTGAACTAGGTACTCTTCTAGGAACCCAAATTTCTACATGTAAAATTAATTTAAAACAATGTATATAGGCCCATCAAGTATTTTTTAGTTAATCAAATTATTATAGTTTATTATATCCCTTTTTACGTAGATTGAAAAAAGTTTAATAATTTGGTACTTTCTTCATAAGTCGTTTTATGATTTTACTTTTTACATGTTTAGGTACAGATAACAATACAATCATTAAAATAATTTTGTTTATCCAAAAAATATGATCTGTCGAACAGACGACTTTCCTGTCTAGTTATTACAGGCTTTTTCGGTTATTTTGTACAACCTATGGTATCACCCCTGTAAATGTTTAGAGGATGAAGGGTGTTTCTAAATTCATGCGACAAAATTCAGGAGGTGATTGCTAGTATGAAATTAAGATGGGTCTTTCCCATAACAAAATTTCCTCAGCACACCCCTTTCCGAGATATCATCCTTAAAAGGTGGTGACTAAAATTGAGTTTTTATTTTTTTCTAAAATTTTAGTAAGCTAAAAACTTGAAATTTTGTAAGTTTCGTGCACTCGCAAAGGACTAACCACGGGTACTTTTACAATATTCCTGTTACATTATAGGAGGGTGAAATTAGCAACCCTTACTTTATTTCATATCAAAACTTTTTTTCGAGATGAAGTTTTATAAAATTATAACAAATACCTGTTTAAAAAAAAAAATATTATTAATT